GCATATTCTTAAAGCGCATATTAAAATCATTGACATTTCTCATGTAGGTGTCTACAGTTAGGAAAGTAGTACACGGTTGTAGCACACCAGTTCAGATTGATTACATTAGAGTATATGACAGTTTACAAGAAAGATTGTAATGTATATTAGACTTGGCCATTTTTTTTTAACCACCACCCAAGGATGAATCCAAAGTAATTTAAAATAACATTTTACTGATCCGACGATCATATTCATATAAGTATTTAAATAGGTTTCATAGGTTTTGTTTCAAGCAATGAATACGGATCGCAATATAGCTCACTAAACTTGGCTCTCTAAACTTTGCCTCTAAATTATATTTATTAAAATATGTTAATTAAATACAGCATAAAACATTTCTGAAGTATCAAGTAGGCTTTATTTTTGACTCTATGCCTTAAGAGGAGTCTGTTGTATTTTAACTTCATTATGATTATTTACATATCGGTTATCTGATTATGTCTCCTTCAAGACCAAAGTGTGCTACGTGGTCCGAAAAAAGCTTGAAAGCGACAGTTAATGACGATTCCATTATATGTCAAGGAATTTATTTACTCTGTTTAAATAAGTCCAGAACTCAACCTGCCTGCCTTCCTCAATTCAGGTTGGGAGGACTCAAAGGAGGGCAATGCACTTGTGTCTCTGAAGTTGCAGGTGTCCATGGGCGGCAGTCGCTTAGTATCAGCAGTGCTATTCTCTAAGGAAACAGCCTTGCGTACAGCGCTTTTTTTTTACATTTGCAAAACCCCTCGTCACCCCACGTCACCCTACCGGGGTTTACGGCGGGGTGGTGTGTCGGAATCGGGTCAACTACAACCAGACCGTGTGCCACTCTGCGCCTGTAATAGGAGGGATCCGAGAACTGCTGTTATTAAGACATCCGGACCCTCCTAGCGCCTGCCCGCAACGGCGCGGGCACCACCTTCGGGTACATTCTCTATTTAGGTGACGTCCGACACACGTGTGCTAAGCCGAATCCTAACTGCAATCGCTGTGGTGACAGGCGGGACTCAATTCCCTCCTAGCGACCGAATGCAGGTACTTCCCGAAGCAGCCGTGCCATGCGTCCGCCAGAAGGACCCTTGTCCCGTGCTGCCGCCTGTCCACTCGACGATGACCGGCTTGATTGCCTCCACGGCGGCAAAGCCAGCACGTGGAGCCTCCAGCCGGGACGACCAACGAGCCATTGTGGCTCCTCGGTCACGACCTCACGCCACTCGCGTTTCTCGAGTGGGGGCCGCCTGCCACAATCCGCCGGGAACTCAGCCGTCCGCTGATATAATAGGGAATATGCACGTGACACCAAAGTGGACAAAATATTTTTATTTGTAATTTTTATTGCTAAAAAAAGATACCCATACAATTATTTTTCAAATTTATTATAATTTAATAGTGAAATTTAATCATCAAAAATTGGCTTTTTTAAGATTCCCTCGCAAATTTCTAAAACGCAACGCTATTGGTTGAATAAAACGTGACGTCAACCTACACTGTCAAGAGTGTCAACAAGTTGTGTGTATTTGTAATATTTGGTTTCTGGTGATTATTTGTTTCATTTTAAGTTTATAACTAATACGTTTTCAGTGTTAAATTATTAAATTCCCGTGTACAAAGACTCAACACAATGACTGAATATACTTTGTCAGATGCAGTTTTGATATTATTTCTGCACAAAGGAATGGCACAATATTTATTATAAGTTTTTATTGGCTTTTCCATGGTAATAAGTTAATTTATATCACTCACTTTTTTAACGTTCACAAACTTTGTAAACTTCACTCCGTTGTTGACATCGAATTCGTCTGAAAGTGTAATCTGACGTCACAAAAAAAGCGCGCCAAAATGGACGTGTTCAAATTGCCCCAAAATGATAGTGATATTAATAATTTTTTTTTTGCTTAACGGTTTATATTTCGGATGTGTTATATTTATTTTTGGTAATGTAATAACGAGTAGAATCGTTTAAAAAATAAAAAAAATACATGCATATTCCCTATTCGGCGAGCACTTCCGCCTCCAAATCCCACGGGGTGTACCGGCCAATGCGAACGCCGTCAGCTTTGGAGCAAGATGTCGACGAGGATTAGACCCAGATACTTCATCTGGGTTGGAACCGGTACGAGGACCGAGTTGACCACGATTGAGGCGCCAGGGGGTGGACCACGACGGGGAACATGAAATAAGAGGGCCTCCGTCTTATCCAGGGCCATTCGTAAGCGTCGTAACCAGAGAGACTCCCCTGGTGGTCAAGCTCGCCGCCTCTTGAAAGTTTGTCCCCCGGGCTGTGACCAGATTGTATTAAACGCAGTTTGAATGAATTATTGATTTTGTTGTACATTTGAATATCTCATTTGAAAGCAGCATTTAGACAGAGGATGCTAATGGAGATTTTTCTTTTGTACAGGGGGTAAACAAGCAGACAGTTCACCTGCTAAATAAGTGACTACTTACTACCGTTTATAAACACTGGCAACTCAAAAATCATTAGTAAGTGCGTTGCCAGGCTTCTGAGTAAACTCAGAATTATAGAGGAGGAGTCAAAGACCGGCCAACAACGTCTTTAACTCAGTTAATAAATAACCATACATCCTCTGACTCACTATAAATATTTTTAATTTATGGTGTTATTTGCGCATTGCTAAGCATATGTACCTTCCATAGGGCTTCTTGTGACTTTTTCGTCTATCTTAACTCTAATAAATAGCAATAACAGTTCAGTCATCTGTATGGTTTAGGTGCTAAGATGGATGAGGCACTAAACACTACCTTGATATAGTCCGTTAGCGTACCATAAACTCAACTCATAAACAGTTGGGCAAACTACAAATATTGATTACGGCAATAAATGCACATTGAGTTATCCTACTTACCCTAACAGTAGCAGCCCCAGGTCTCTTAGAACAAAGCCCAAAACGGGCTCTATCTAACATGAAGGCAGAACCCACCTACATTTTAAAATTAAAACACATACATAATATAATACAAATCACAGCGGGTTTTAATCGTCTTTAGTAGATTCAGATAAATGTTGATTTTCTCTTAGTTAAGTCGTTTTATTTACTCTGGAACTTTTAAGTGTAGTTCACTTACACACTCATTTCATCCACCCTCACTCAGGTAAACTGGCAGATAATCTTTATCGCATTAAGTTCAATATTGTACAATTTTTGTGCACAAAAATTTAAATAAATAAAAAAATCATCATCATCATCAGCCTATCGCAGTCCACTGCGGGAAATAGGCCTCTCCCACTTAGATCGATTTTGGGCTTCTCGCATCCACTGCACATCGCACTACACCTAGCCTGTGGGCGTCCTACACTACGTTTGCCCAGACGCGGTCTCCACTCAAGAACTCGTTTTCCTCAATGGTTGTCTGTTCTTCGGGTAATATGGCCAGCGCACTGCCACTTCAGCTTGCTGATCCGGTAGGCTATGGCAGTGACCTTGGTTCTCTGCCGGATCACCTCATTCCTGATGCGATGCCTTAGAGAAACGCCGAGCATAGCTCTTTCCATAGCACGTTGAGCGACTTTGAACTTGTGGACTAGCCGTACCGTAAGTGTCCACGTTTTGGCTCCGTATGAAATGACGTGTAGGACACACTCATTGAAGACTTTCGTCTTAAGGCACTGTGGGATCGACGATGAGAAGACTCGACGTAGCTTCCCAAACGCTGCCCAACCCAACTGAATTCTTCTGTTCACCTCGTCCTCGAAGTTGTTTCTACCAAACTACAATGTCTGCCAGATATGGCATTATATTTTGGGGAAACGCGACCCACGTATCAGATGTGTAACTGGCACATAAAAATGTATTCGTGCTATTTGTAAATTAAAATTGTATAATAGATTGGAAAACCAAATTGTATTGAGCACAAATATTAATGAATTTAAATTTAAACTCTTTGAATTTTTTAACAATAACGCATATTATTCCATAAACGAATATTTCAATGACCATTTTTAATACTATTGACATTCATTGATTATTTTTACCATAAATTTTAATTATCTTTCATTATTATTACTTAATTTGACCTGAACTGATGATGACTTTAAATTATATATACTTATATGGATTGATGACTTTGTTTATGTAAAATGATGATGCTTTATTTAAACAATACTCTTAGAATATTTAAGGAATGTACCTAATTTCAATGACGTATTAATATTGTTTTGTTTATATATCATTGCCTAATATTTTGCATGCCTTTCGGCGGGACATAGCTTGTACATAACAAAATTGACATCTTAACCACCTATGTATCACAAAATTGAATACATAAATGAAATGAAAAAATGATGTACACATAATTTTGAACAACTTCAAGAACGGCACCATGTACCGCAAACGGTTTTGGTAGTACATGTTTGTTGAACATGACCTTGGTTTTATCCAAGTTCATCCGTAGGCCGATGCGTACAGAGAGTACAGAAGAGAAATAAATAAATATATAAATATTAATTTACCGTTATTATCGAGAGGATAAAAGTAATCCTAATCATTCCTATAAGTAGTAAGAAATTTGTTGTATATTTTACTATAAGGAATTTATAAGAAGAACACTTATGAGTAGTGAAGTAATTTTGGTACATAATTCAGGACTACCGACTCGTCCATGCGGGCGCCGGTAGTAGTTTGCGAACGCGGAATATTAATTAACCAAAGCATACACAGACACTCGCAGCCCTTACATTCAGTTTATCACACCCGACAGGTGACTACGACTAGCGCGTTAAGTAAATACCGTTGTGTAGACAAATTAGATGCACACTAAACTTGAAATTGTTTATCTAAGTAACTTTAATAAATACCTCTACTCTTTGGCATTTTCGCGGGCCCTTGTGTGTTCCACATGTTCCGACATCGGTGAATCACTACTGAAAAAAAAACAAAACGAGGGACGGCGGAGAACGCGGGTGACGCAGCGCCTGCGAGTCATTGATCCCGATACAGTCCCGGACGGCCGACGCCATGTCGGAGCTCGCGCACTCGCCCGAGCCGCTCCTCCCGCCGCTAGTGACCGCCGCGTACGTCGCATGTGTTGCTGGTGCTGCTGCCCTCGCTAACTGCTCCGTTCTGGCCGCGCTCTTCAAAACGTCGCGAAGTGGTAAACAAACAATTATGACAGGTTTTGGAATATTTACTCAATTTCTCAACGTTATTAAAAAACGCGCAGTGCCAGTTAGAGTTACAAATGCAACTCGTAGTCTTTGATTGAGATTGTTTTTTTTTTTATTAAAGATAATCCTGTAATATAAGTCAAATATGAAATTTTAAAATTCAAGCCGTTTGTGATGCGGCAAATAAAGTTTTATGTATATTATTATTAAATCAATGTTTAAACTTTTTATTTTCAGGTTTGCTGACTATTATTCTACAATTGGCCATAGCCGACTTTGTGCTCGGAGCATCATTATGTCCAGAATTGTGGTCTTTTAATGCAAGAACGTGGGTTTTTGGTAATCAGAGTTGCATAGCTTACCGAGGATTGAGTGTGTTTGCCTCAACCGTGTCGTGTTATTTAGTGGCCACTATTGCACTGCATTCACTCGCCACTGTCAATTTTGAAGAAAAATCATTAACAAAACATATTAAAAGAAACGAACAGGATGAAGATGAAGAGATAAGATCATCACGTCACAGTTTAGTGACTAGCAGCGACTCCTCAACACCACCTCGGACTATGAACCTAGACTATAGAGTGTCGAGTAAGAGAATCTCAGTGATCCAGCCTACAATTTTTATTTGGATTTTATCAGTATCTTTAAGTATTCCAGAGTTTGTGTTAGCCACTACAGTACACTTCGATCACAATATTGTGATGTGCACAATTGTTGACACTAGTCAACGCCTTTATATGTACTCTATTCTCGCAGTGTTAAACTTATTTTTACCAATAGTTGTAATGAGCGTGGCTGGTGTATTGGTTATTCTTAAATTAAGATTAAGGAGCCTATTATCTCAGATAGAGTGCTTCGAATCCATCTCATCGCTGAAACTGTCGCTGTGGCTTATAATAGTGTACATGGTGCTGTGTTCACCTCGATCAATAGTAACAGCCTATAGTGTATACTCTAAAACAAGTCAAGGGAACCAAACGTCTTTAGCTCACACCAATGAAATGGCTTCTGTGAACTTAGCTACCAGCAGTACTTACATTGTTTCAACGTTGGTGCGACCACTACTAAGTATAATTTTACTACCTCGAGTGAGGAAGTCTTTTTCCTTTGGATCTTACATCCAAGCAGATAATGTTTAAGATACATAAAGACTGTGAAATATACTTATCAGTAAGATCATTAATTCATTATTAGTAAGATTACCTGTAGTCATCATAACATCAAATATACATCTTAAGGACCAAGTGCTTAAAGTTCTATTTTGTATTTATTTTTATCGCAAAGTATCACTACGTGCCTAAATCCTACATGTAATAAAGATTATGTTTTGAAGGTAATCTTAGCGAAGTTTGAAAACAAAAGCTATCGCTATTAAAGATGCTATTTTTTAATTATCAGTGTCTACATTTTAAACCAGAGAAATTTAGATTGTGCATTGTTGACTCCCTAAAATCTCAATTAACGACCAGAAATAGGCATCGGTTTTAATAATTTATATTAATTTTAACAACATCTAAGTGATTAACTGGATAGTAAAATTTAACTTATTAAGGATATGAAATACCAAAAATAAAGGTAAGCAAAGAGGTGTTATAAGAAACAGAATGTTTGCTAAAATATCTACTATTTAGATGTACGATGATGATGAATATTTAATGTGTGTTGGGATAGCATTGTTCAACTAAAATATGCATTTATTTTTTAAATGTTTATATTATATTAAACTTTTACAAATACCAACAGTATTTTGTATACTGCTAGTGTTTTTTACTTACACGAAGGTTAAATTAGAAGGTAGAGAATTTCAATGAATTAAATGTTTATACCTAATTAAATAAAACATTCTCTTTAAGCGTTTTTTCAATCAATTTCATAAAAAAAATCAAGTAAACAAAAGTAGAGCCTAGGGAATACCTGCATGTCAATAGCTTGTAGTGTTTCACATTTCTTGTAACATTTAGTACCCACAGTTATGAAAGGAATATTCACTCTATGAGCTGTTCTGCAGAACAATTAAAGTACAACTCAAATTAATTGAATGTAGTAGCCAGACACCGTAATAGACTCCGCAAATAATAGCGCAGACAGCGAACCCACGGCTCGATTTGATCCCCCTCTAACCGTAATTGGCCACCCCGGAAACGCATAAGTATACCTAATGCATACTAAGCTGATAAAGGCTTTATTTCTCAATATTGAGACACTTTTTGGCCAGTTTATCCTGTAGGAACTACATTAATATGCTGTGTGTTGACGTCGTTGTTATCGACATCCAAGAAAGCAAACAATGCATGAGTAATTGCAAATGGTTTTTGCTTCAGTCGAAGTCATTCCCGTTAACATCCATTTTTGATAAAATCCCATTTAACAGCACTACAAGGCAGTATAATCATGATGATTATATAGGTATGTACTTTAAACTAAGTAACTTTTACACAAGTAATAGATCCAGTAAAGTAACAATTACTTTTACAAAACAATTTTAAACGTTGACAGAGTCAAAATCTTAAACTATTTCATCGAATACGATTTGATATTGTAGGTATATTCGGAACAACTAACAACATTAAATCAAACCTACAAAGTACCAGTAGGTACTTTGTAGGTTTGATTTAATTAACGATATATTAGTATTTTAGAACCCATTTAGGATTGAGTCAACATTCCCATAGAATTGTGAAAGTTGAAATCAGAAATGGAGTGTAAAAAACCTCTCTCTTAAATGTCCTATGTCCCCTGGATCGGGCAGAGGGCGTCCATAGCAAGTTTTTATCTCGATCGGTTCCGAGCCATGCGTTTAATTTTGCTCTAAATTTTGCCGATGTTCTTCGCCTCATCATCCGCTGTTCGTCCCTATGAAGACCATACCTACGCTTTCGCCGGGGTTCCATTCTAGAGCCTACTTGGACTCTGTCGTTATTTCCTGGCGACTTTCTAAAAGTTATTGGTTAAGTATATTCTAAGACAAATATGTGCCGAGAATTTGACAAGGCCAGTCGTTGATAAAGACCCGGACCCACTGCAAGATCATTTTATTAACCTTCCTCGTTTCGCACCCATATAGCAATACAGATTTGACATTGAACCCGAATAATTTGAGCTTAACTCTTCGAGACAATATCCGGGACTGCCACACAGGTCGTAGTTGTGCGAAGGCAGCTCGAGCCTTGAAAACTAAAATATATTTTTTATACCTACGTAAAGTATTTAGGGGAACCTATAAATACAACACTTAACAGTCATGAACATATCATTGCAAAAAGTCTGACAACTTTTTACAAGTAAACAACCAATTTGGCCAACTCACAAGTCATCGCATGACGACATTTTTGAAATAATTAAACTAAAATTTACCTGCGGCTTAAAAAGGTGACAATTTTGTCAATCAATTTTCCCTTAATAAAAAGTGGTTGGTTTGGTGGTATGGTTTGGAGTACACATAGGCCACTCCAAACCATAATATATCTCCGTGTCAAATGTTATCCAGATTCGTTCAGCCGTTTATGCGTGATTAAGTAACAAACATCCACTACACAAATTATTATGCAATTAATATGTAATTTTTTGATTTTTAAAAATGTTGTGCACAGGCGCAACAAGGCATGAGCCCAGACTGGATGGAAAATGAACTCTGCTAATGTTACACTACGCAACAAGAACAAAAAAGAGATGTGAGATACTAATCAATTTGTGCTTATCAAGCCCATCATCATACGGAAATGATAACTCTGTAGCAGGTAGTATGCCTGACGAAAACATTGACAATGATTACATCAATGACCTAAAGAAACAAATTAGTAGTTTAACTGGCCAGCTTGATAGTGCGAACGAACAAATTGACGAACTAATGTTAAATTATTAGTTTCAAAATTAGCAAACTCTAAGTTGGATTCAAAACTGGAAAATTGTTTCCGTACATAATCGTATAAGCGTACTTCATCAAAACATAAACGGGCTCATTAATAAGTCAGACCAACTAAGCTTACATCTAAATAATTTCTCAGATAAAGGCAAACCCGTAGATATTGTGTGCATAACGGAAACAGACATGAAAACGGGTGATAATATTCATCTTAAATTACCTAACTATAATCTATGTACCTACCTACTATGCTAGGGATGATAGACACGGAGGTTCCTGTATACTGCTAAAAAAATCCCTTAACGGTCAAATACTAGATTTAGAAAAATGGTGCCAACCGAATGTAATAGAGTGTTGCGCAGTTGAGCTGGCAAGTGTTCCTATCGCTATTGTATGCCTGTACAGACCTCCAAAGAACGATAGCATGTCCTTGAAAACATTTCAATTAAAATTTGACAGCATGTTATATTATATTTGTATTTTACGTAAAAAAAAGATCATACTGTGCGGCGACTTTAACATAGACATACTGATAGAAAACACTAAATCCCGGAATTTCCTTAATATATTATGTAGTTATAATATGGAGACTCCTACACGACTATGTACTGGGACGTGTACTTATTGATAACATATTTCATAACATCGAAAGCAGTAAGTGTGAAACAGCTGACCTAGCACTATCAGACCACACTGCCCAATTTATACAATGCCCCATAAAGAAAAGGTGCATTTTACCTTATTGGTTCATTTTTAGACGCAACTACGGTAAAGAAAATGTTACTAAATTTAAGGAATGTCTACAATGTCTAATATTCAGTGCTGTGTATCGGTGTATTGACCCTAATGAATGAAGCATACGAGTATAATAAATTTCATGATATTTTTACTTTTTTCTATGACATGTGCTTCCCACTAAAGAAAGTAAAAATTACTACGGTACAGAAGCCAAAATGGATAAGTAAAGGCATACAAATGTGTAGCAAACGCAAGCGGAACATGTTATGGCAGTTTCGTAAAGTCCCCAACTCCGAAAACAGACAAAGATATAAAAGTTATTCAAACAGACTGAAAACTATTTTACGTTTAACTCAAAGAGTACAAAATAATACCTACATACACAAGGCAAAGAACATGAGTAAATCAACGTGGCAAATAATAAATAGAGATAAAAATAATAAACCCACAGAAGGAATTAATAAAGTGGAACGAAAATATTTATACAGATCCAAAATATATATCTCAGATATTAAATAATTATTTTATTAACGAAATAGAAAATAATAGTAATAATATTGACAATAATAGATATTTAAATCTTGACATAACTCGGGACTCATTATTTTTAATACCGACAGTTCCTGATGACATCGTCAAAATAATCCATTCATTAAACAATACTAATAGTACGGGATATGACGACATCACTACTAAGATAACTAAATCGGTATCCAGTATAATTGCACCAATAATAAATCACATTGTCAATATGTGCCTTGAGACAGGTATATTCCCGGAAAGCTTAAAACTCTCAGTCATCAAACCTTTATACAAAAGGGCAATAAGGATAACCTTAGCAATTACAGGCCAATTGCCTTGCTGCCTATCTTTTAAAAAAATTTTGAAAAAGATATTTATAATTCATTGAATTCGTTTTTAGAGCAAAATAACATTTTAGTAGATGAACAATACGGTTTTAGAAAAACAAAAATATTAATATAGCAATATATAAACTAAATAAAAAAATTATATCAAATATCGATGTTAAGAATCCTGTTGCGGCTCTATTCATGGATATGAGCCGGGCATTTGATTTCGTGGATCGTTCGAGACTCCTGAAAAAACTAGAAAAATGTGGCATTAGGGGTAATGCCTGTGATCTCATTAAATCTTACTTGACAAGCAGGAAACAAATCACATCTCTACGCAAGGTATGTATTAAGTCAAGAATAGAAAAGAACTACACTTCTGATCAAAGATTAACCAAATATGGAGTACCTCAAGGAAGTATTTTAGGGCCACTACTGTTTCTCATTTATATTAACGACATGCCCAAAGTCACACATCATCCAATGGTCTTATTTGCAGATGATAGCACTGTGCTTTTCAGTCCTAGTCATAATCACTTGACGTTCGAAACCGAAATAAACGACTGCTTGAGAACGGTAATTGACTGGTTAGAAGCAAATAATTTAAAATTGAACCTCGATAAAACTAAACTCATGACGTTTGAACAAAAAACCAATCACAATAAACCCGTGGTAAGATATGGTACTA